TAGGACAGGCGAGTGCATTCCTCGGAAGAGAACAAATTCTTCAACTGCGCTCAATTGTCAAATGAATGGTACTTATCGAATTTCCAGGATTACTAAAACCCTCCAGTGACGATAGCTTCGAGTCTTTGGAATATGACGAACATTGTAAGCTAATTTCTCTACTCCAACATCGCGATTTTCACAAGCAGACAGACTCGTCGTCCTCAACAATGGGTAAAATTTTATTCCAATAATATTAGAATAAAAGTAGAAAACAACTGAAAGCAACATAGAACAATTTATGTACAACATTCATTCGATTGAGCGATTGAACTTTTATTCACTGTGAAGTAGTGCATTCTATAATTCAAAGTTTAATTTTATATTCAAAGACTAACCGATAAATAGCACAAATGCACTAATTGACACTGCTTATGTGTGTTACCTACAACATGGTAAACAACACAAGTGTTATAGTGAAATACTACAAAAATTTCGTTTCAAGGTATTTTTCAACGACAATGATATATGTATAAAGCCTCAGAAGTAATTGAAAAATTAACAATAAATATCATGATAAAAAAGCTGATAATATTATTAACAACTCAAGTTGAACGCTAGGTTTACGGTACTCATTTTGACCCATTCCGAAATTCACAAGGAAAATTACAAAAACCATTTACATTTTTCGCCAACTACTTATGCTGACTTTCATCCACATAAAGTGACAAGCATATATCTAAATTACTTCGGTAGTAGATGTAAACGCCATCAAAAAGTTCTTAGACATAAAAGAAATCAACAATGCAGCGAAGTTACTTCGAACCCCATAAACCTAATGTTAACATTTTATGAACGTTTGTACATAAATACTAGTTACCTGACAATGTTAAAAATACATAAACATAATCAAAGTGCATGTACAGACGGTACCTTTAAAATAAATGAAACGGATCACTCAAGGAATGCAAAAGACAAACAAGCAAAACTGCTTTCCTCGAAACAATGATCGATAGAATTATGTCGTTTTAGTATTCATGGATTCAGTTGCTTATCTTTTATTCGTTATTCAGAATTTGTATCTAGATAAGAATTTCGCCCATCCCTAGTTGTCCCGCGATCTTGACTCCTGGCTGGGTGCTCACCGTGACTCGCGAGTGGGTGTCACTTAACGATTGCGTTAAGAGTCGACCACTTGGTACGATAACGAGCAGGTAACGCGGGCGTTATTATCAATTTAATTGGTGGGTCGTGTCGAGGTAACGTTGAATCGATACAGAGGGCCGCGGGGCGGTCTCGTGAGACGGCTCCTACAAGCGTGGAACCAAAGAAACAGGCTCCGAACGGGAAAATTAATAAATCAGACTTCCTCAGCAGAAGGCCACCGCGCCGTGGCGTTCCTTCGTCATCCCAAGATTTCGTATCTCTTTGGTTTTATAGCATTCCACCATGAAAGAAACGCTAGCCTAATAATCGTTTTAGCTGCGAAGGACTGTTTCCCCTTTCGATCCTTTTTTCTACGGATCCCTTAGCTCCTCTATCGCCATTACAACCCTTTTTTTGTGAGAGGCGTGACGCATACCAAGCTTTTCAGCCCTGCTGTATGGATACATAGATGTAAATACATGGACTTCAAGATTATTCTTTAAATATTATCTTAATTAAAAATTAATTCAGAATTAATTAATTGATTTCTGAAGATAATAAACGTCAACCACAGTTCAGATTTGTTTAGGAGGGGACTTTTATCCGGTACACAAAATTGATTTTTCTTTTTATGGAAATTTATCGTACAATTCTTAAAGAACAATTGTGTACAATATAAATAAACATAAATGAAATTATCGAAGTTAGAAGGCTCGAATATCAAGTATAACACGTTGGTTCTGTATATCAAATTTCATCTAAATTCAGTCACTTTTCGTATTTTAGTCCGGCATTTTGGATTTGCCATTTTCAATTTTTCAATTCTGAATTCAGATTTGAAATCAGCGCCCCTAAAAACCCCTGTATACCAAATTTCATAAAAATCCTACGAACGAAACTTATTAGAAAAGCGGAATTTCTGCTATCTAATGGATGGTTATTATCATTGTTAGATACTCTTAAACAATTGCATTATTTTTTTATTTCAGTTTATTTGTACGACTGAAATCATGTTGACCAGTAACCAATGTTTATTATTATTATTTTGAGTATATCTCTCCATAAAAATTTGTATTTTATACTAGAATAGTAATAATGTGTATAATTTCAAATTAAAATCTTGAATACTTTTTTTAATAAAAAATGACGAAGAAACCGCTTTTTGGCTTGGAAAAATGCAATTCCTCGTTAAGTAATTTTTGTGTTGATTAGCGGCGTCTATCGAAAAGCATTGTAAATTGTAACTTTCCAATTGAATTATAATTGAAGGAACCGAAAACAACTGTAGGCATGCGAGAAATAATTTTCTGTTTATTCAATGAAACAAAATTTAAGACCAAGGAGGTTAAATGCATCATGCATTTCCTATTCTTATCTGCGTTGTATCATTCCGTTCGGAATTTTTGAAATCGAGGCAAGAGAAGGAAGCTTAAAACAATTAAGATCGATAGGACAAAGACGAGTTTCACTTATCGCAGCGTTATCGACGAAAGCTGAAAAGTTGAAAAGAGAGTTGACCTTAGGAACATACAGATTTCGAACAGATCGGCCGCTAACGCTAATTGCTGGAGATAAATTGTTCAAGGTTAACGAGATTGTACCAGAGAGATTTTTTGCCTGACTTTCGCATTGATTCATTAACAAGATTCTTTATCGCTGAAGATTAAAAATAATCTAACGCGATTGGTGAATGAATTAATAGTCCGTATCGCAAAGAGAACGAAACGAGTTCTTAATCGATACAATCGAGTACATTAATTTGAACGGTTCGAGACTATACAATTTAGAGTAGAGAAGCATACGATATCAGCTTATATTATAATAGCAATTGATGAAAGATATAGCTTTCGACGATTTATTAGAGTAGAACGACCATTACACGAAACTCCGTTATTCAAATGATCAACCATCCGAGTGCTTTAATGTTTGAACAGAGTATCTATGTGTTCCAAAGAGGAGCAACACTAATTCGCATAATAGATAACGAATAAAACTAACAAACACCTTAAATAGAAAATTATAAATGTCAGAAAGACAAATGCTTTATTATCCGAAAATTTCCTTGGACAAAAGTCTTCCTATTCGATCGTACAATGGAGGTTCTACTCTACATACAATGTTTTCGCCTCAAACTTTAGGTTTTCTTCCAAAATTCGAACCAAGCACGTTACTCTTACGTGCTCTAGGTGCTGGCGTACCATCCACGACAACTAATCTTGAACTTTAAGTCATCAATCATATAAATCTCCGAGAACCGTATTTTCTACGAATTTCGATAAAGAGAAACGTTCCATTAAAAACACATTGCAGCTGCACCTTCCAAGGAGTCAGAGACAAATAGACTCCGCTAATCCAACGTTTCCCTCGGAGAATTTTCTCTACGTTTATTCGGTACAGAGCTACAAACTTTGTAGTACAAAGTCGATTTGATAATTCGGTCAGACCATTCGATCGTTCGCCGTATACAAAATTACCAAATGAATATTGCCGTCACTCGTCGTTCCAAATATACCCTCGCGATTCAAGTGGACGGCCTGTATATAGAAGGATTTAGTGGACGCGCAATCGTGCCAGTAAAGTTAAAGAGCGGCCATAAAATAATCCGCGCGCCAGAATCCCTTGGGAGCTCAGATTGAAGAAGTTCTTTGCGAAAGACGAAAGAATAGATGGTCCAGTTGACAGTATTAACACGTTTTTGACATGTCATAAGTTTATCGAAGTTTTAGATGTTATCGTTTTTTACTCTATCGTGGAAAAATTGACGACTTCACGGGACAGTTTTAACTTGAAATAGCCGGTCAGGCAAATCTTTCGACGAAGGCTACTTAAGGAGATACAACACTGTTAAATTTGTTTACAAATCAATTTGTTACATTTCTCAAGAGATATACATTTCAAGAATGTTGGGCCAAATTTTGAGAACGAAGTCTCCAGAATTGATAGAGTCACTTGAATGTGTAGTGTATTAACACTAAAACTACTTAGTCATTAACGATGCTATTTATGACAATTTATATCAACAATTATGCCAAACAAAATAATTCTGATTGACAACTTTGTTTGCTTCTCTTCTCTCTGACTTCTAAGATATAGTTGTATGCATAATAGGTATGTGTAAAGGATACTGAAACTTTAAATGCGTTTATCTCTTAACGACGCTTTCTGAGAGAACTATGCGACCGATCGATATGATGCAAGTCACATTCTCTTCAGAAAATTTGTCTCTAAGGACTGACGTAGCACTCTTGTTTAAAGATTATTTTTATTTTATTTCAATAAGTGGAACGAATTTTTTCGTGAAACATGGAACTTTTTTTTCAAATAATTTTTTTTAATTTTCTGATGTATTGAATGTATGGAATAGTCATACGTATCTAGTTTAAGACAATATTTATTTTTTTATTTCAAATATACGCTGTAGTTACAAAGCTGTCAACCGAAAACCAGTATTTTTGTACCGAATAACGCCATGTTAATGACATTACGAGACTCGTTTTTATTCGGTTTAATGTCCAATAAAATATAATAAAAATTTGAAAATAACCCATCGTATAGTTTTTCCATAAATAAATGATTGTTTATGCAAATTCATATTTGTTACACATTCAAAAAATTGAGATTTAAATGAAAGTATGTCTTATATTGTAACATGTATTTTATTGTTGATATTTTGTATATTTTTGCATTCATGCATTTCCTGATACGTTTCCCCACATTTTCACATGCCATTTAACACAAGCATCCACAGTCTGTTTATAAAGAATCGTTGGAAATATATCTTGCTTTAGGGCCGTTACAGTGTCGTGTCCCCTTAACCCCGTTCGTTGGGGCGCCAGGAGAATTCGTAACCGAAGAAAAAGCGAGAAGGAACTTACCTTGACGAGCAGGTGGATCGGCTGGCTGACGCTGAGTGGTTTGCCTCTTCTGGCGTTTCCGCCTCCGCCGCCCAAGCACTTTATCCACGGCATTCCTCGAGTGTTTTCTCGCCTCTCCGTTGCCGTCTTGATCGCCGACACTTCTCCGTTCCTCTTCGTCCTCTTCCTAGCCCGCTTCTTCCGCGAATCTTTCAAGGCACCCACTGCTTTCCGCTTCTATTCGCGACGATCATTCGCAGCCACATTTCCACCCGAGCCCACGCGCAACCATTTCACCATCCTTTACCCACGAACTCGAACCGTATCCTCTCCGTATACCAACTTTCGAAAACGTCCCAGAATTCTCGGAAGATCCTTGTGCCCCTTAACCACCCTTCCTTGATCCTCTATTCTCGGGATTCCTTCGGCAACAGATACCTCCCAAGGATAAAGGATGTTTCGAACCTCAGAGATGTTTCTGCGATTCCAAGGGTCTCGAAAACTCGTGTCGTCGACTCTCGGACGGTCCCGCGTGTCTGGGTGACTCCGAATTGATCAAGTTTCGAAAGCGTGTACTCTAACTTTTCCTCGATCCACTATTCCCGAGATTCCTTTGGTAAAAGGATCCTTCTGCTCCGGATTTCGGAGATGTTCCAACGAACTTGGAGGTCTCAAAAACTTTCGTCATCGACCTCGACAGTACCGAGTGTGCAGATGACTCCGAATCGATCAACTTTCAGAAGCTTCTCATAGTAATGGGAAATCCTCACCGCTCTTTTTCGAGTTCTTGTTCTTCAAGATCCTTAGAATTTAAAAAATATTTCAGCTTCCATAACCCTTCGATGGTTATCCATGCCTATAGTCGCTTGTATCTATTGACACACTACCGTGCGGTAAACGCCTATAGGCGTCCAGCGTGCGTATATGGCCAACACGTGAAAAGTCTCCCGCACACGACCTGCGTTCTTCGGCTAGGTCAGTGATTGAATGGTTAATTGCACAGGTCGTCGTCACAAATACGAAGGATGACTCCCTGTCCCTGGTCGCACATGATTTTCCTTCGTTCCACACGGTCGCGTTCAAACAAGGCCGAGGCTTCTGCGGTGTTCCGCGAGGTTGAAACGACAACAAAGCACGTCGGGGAGGGGTATCGGTGATTTTCGCGTCCCGTGATTTTTCCTTGCGTCGACGTGTACACGAGCGACGACGTCCTCTCTCGCGCGCGGCTCCCGCGATACTGGCGGCCGTCGACTTCGCTATCGTCGATTTTATACGCGGCTTGACAGTCCGGGTCACCGCGTCCCTTATCTACGCTCCAAGACTCTCAGGCGACGGAACACCCCTTCGATGATTTTCACGTTCGACGATCTTTGCAGGAATTCTCGCGAGAGCAGAGATGAGAGCTGCCTTCGGCGATTCACGTTTGACACAATAAAGCCAACTTTGAAACGGAGCTGATATTTATTGGTTCTTTACTTGTTTTGGAGCGGTTGGTCCTTTTGTATTTCTTTTTTCGACGTGGAACACGAACTTCCGATGACTGGAATCGAGAATGATTTTAAATTTGATTGACAGCTTTGATGACCCTTTAGTTGAAAGAATTTACGTCGTTGTGGATTTTGGCAACTTCTAAAAATCTTTTCCTCAAGTTCGAGATTTTTTTATTTGCCATCAACGTGATTTCTTTTAGTGCTTCTTTGAATACAGTTGATCGATAGTCACCGTGTGTCACGCTTCTGAGATATTTTGGTGACCTTCTGGTCGAGATCTATATCGCTATGAATTTTATCAATTTTTAAAAATCTTTTCCTGAAACTGTGAATGTTTTTTGGTAGATCTCGACTCGATCTATCGACGGATCATGTTTCCGAGAGACTTTGATGACTCTGACGGAGAAGGCTTTTACTCCATGAATCTTGACAATTTCTTAAAAGTTTCTACAACCTCGATCGATGGAGGATCCCCGCATAACGCGTTTCTGAGGAATAGGAAGTCGAATTTCGTGGGAAAGCGTTTCAGACGCGAATGGATTGAATGTGTGGTGAACACGCGTGAGAATGAACGGAGCGCGCGTGTCGGGCGTTCTCGGTTTTATAAGCGTCGTATTTTCTCGACCAGCTCGACCCGCGGCCTGCCGTCGACTGACAGAAAATACCGGCTGGGACCCCGAAGAGCGCTCTGCGGGCCGACAGAGGGGCGGAAGGAATCGACAATCCGCGTCGAAACGCAGCGCGGCTCTCCGCATCTGCGCCTCCGCTGGACTCTTTAACACTTTGACTTCACATAACACACCTACGCGTCATTAAGGGGGCGTTTTGATCGAAGTGACTGAAAAATAGCCAGTTGTCAGGAATTTCTTTTGTGAAAATGAAATGAGATATGAAAACAGAGCTAATTGGATAACTTACTGTTAAGTTACTTGCTTACTGCAAGGGTAAAACCACTTACATTTTGTCCATTAGAAATTTCTTTGCAGAATATTCAAATATCGGTTTTAATTTAGTCTGCACAACAGATCTGAGTTGCATGCAAGTTATATTTCATTTTACGTATCTGAAACTAATCAAATTTATCAAATCTTAATCATTTGACAGATTTTGACACATGTGTGTATGTTTGCTTTTATGTAAAAATTACCATAACTTACTATCACGATACTTTTTAAAATTAAAAAAATGTGCTATATTAAAGTGGGACAATATATTTGTATGTTAAGGTCGATACATAGATAAAAATTGCTTTGATTTGTGTTTACCTGATTAGTGCAAAACAAAGTCCTTTTAAAATTCATCCCACAAGAGGTTAAAGTTTTTCGGTAGGCGTGTCACTACCTTTACCTCCAATACTCTTTCATTCGATTTTGGACATAACCTATGCATTTTAATTTGTTTATATCGTAGGGATCCAAATTGAGGACAATTTAAATGTCTCGCACACGTGTCTCCGTCCCGATATAATTGCATGCAACAAAATCTTCTGTAATTTCATACATTTTTCGAATTTTCCAAAATACTTTTGCAGGATATTTTTAAATTCTCTAAACATTCTAAAAATACAATTTATTGACAATTTCAACAAAATCAGGTATCTATAATTGAGAAAATTTCTGAAGCTTGACAAACTATAAACAAACATATATACAAACTATGAAATTGACATATTCAACAGTTACCTCAACAAAAAACTACAATTCATCAAATTTATAGTGCTCCAAATTAGACAGACCATTAAAGTTCAAACGTCGTTTATAAATGAACAACACAGTAATCAAATGGATCGGATCGATGCGAAGAGACTAGTTTCCACGACTTAAAACCACCCTTGAACCGGTATGGGCGTCTCGTAGTGCACCCTGTAAATACCGTGTAACAGGACAATGAAAAAATAATAGCGACGGTCCCGGATGATGGCAAATTACATTGCCACGACGAGGCAGAATGCGTAGGGCAGCGTGTACTGTGTCGTACAAGCAGAGTATCAACTGGAAAACGTGTTTACATCTCGTCGTGGCTCAGCAGCCTGAGGATCTTTTACGACGGGAGCCCATAAAGTCAGTGCCGTACCCACGTGTGTTTGCACGAGTCCCGCGCAACGTCAGCCGATGATCGAACGGAAGTCAAGGTAACAAGAACGCGCGACGCAGAAGCCGCGCTCGATCTCTCGACCTGCCTATACATGGACGCTGGGCATACCTGAAATTTCGACGCGTGTTGCGGCGCTCCTTGCCACCGTGACACCGAGGTCGACAACATAAACAACATACATACGTGACATAACAGGATACAGCGAGTGCTGATTAAAGTCGTACACTTCACAGTTCAATCGATTACTAACATATACTTACGTATATCGTAACAGTACAATGTCACATACATATGTAAACAGACGTTATTCATACTACCTTCGATAGTTATTCGGTGTTTAAAGTCGAAAGGAAAATAATGGTTTGTGGAAACAGTGAGATAGCAGTACATATGCTGGAAAGAATTATATCTTTACGTAGAAGTAATAATTACTAAAGAAAAATTGGTGAAATCTTAAATTTAAACTGTTCTACGGTGCGACATGTAGTAATAATGTAGCAACAGACAACGAGAAAGCAGTTATAAATCATTCGATATATTTGGAAATAATGGGAAAAACTTCGTGTGGGAAAAACGAAATACAGCACGACATGAAGAAAATATACAACCAATTGTAAAGCACGGTGACCAGCGTTGTGCTATGAAGATTCATGTCCTATAATAGTGTTGAAAATGTGGCATTTATCGGCGATATAATAAACACTGAAAAGTCCATCGATCTGTTCCGTGATAATTTATTTGACAGTGTAGTCATACTAGGCACGAGAGAAAGCTATTATTTTGCAGCAAGATGCCTCTCAAATAACGATTCTAAACAACTCGTTACTTCATCAAATCTCCTAATATAAATCTTAAAGAGAATTTGTGAGATATTTTGAACTTTCAAATCAGACTAAAAGGATATGTAATACAAATGATTTAAAAATCGCTCTCATCCAACATTCCACAAGTTACCACAAAAAATTTTTAAGGTCAATTCCAAAACGACTACAAGCGAATCTTGAGACTAAAGGAATGCATACAAAATATTGAAGATGTATTTTATAATTATAACTGTAATGAAATATAAATTTATTATGTCGATTCTAAGTGCACAAATGTTTTCTTGACTACGTAATTTTCTTTCTATTATTCTCGAACGAAAAGTAATTAACGTTTCTAAGTCAATATATCGTCCCTAGATATAATAAAGGATTAAAATTAAAGGATTAAAATTAACAAACTAAGTGTGCAAATACTGTTTTGACCCACTGTACACGTTTCCTTGGAGTTTTCCATTTAAATGGTACGATAAAATAAATCAAAGGATGATAGCTATACCGAGGTATTGTATACAAAAAGATGAGCCAATGTTACGTAGAACGAGAACAATCGACACTTAAGGATATGGTAAGGAGCATTTGTACGAGAAAGATAAGTATGTACATATGTATATGAGCACACTCCGTATGAAATGGTGCAATTTAACAAGATAAGCAAGTAAGATAAAGATACTTACACGTTACCACACATTAGGCAAATATAAGATATACAATTTTGAATTCTTGTTATAAATACGTATGTGTTCCTTGATGTTTAAAGATTCACATAATCAAATATCAGTAGAATAAATTACAGTAGAATTCCGATAATCCGGTATGCTTTGGCAGTGTCGAAATCGAATGTTAGACTATATTTATAATGCAGCCAAAACGAAGATTATAATTTAAAAATCGACCACAATTAATATAGTAATTTTCTTTATACAAAATCGATATGTACAGTTCCTCGGGTGCTGTGATTGATCGACGTTTTTCGTTAATAATTCAAAAACGAAGCCCCATCCGACATTTTTGCAAAGGAAATTGTTGTCCAGAATCGTCTCAGCTATCCCACATTTCCGGCTCTTACAGGAGTTCTAGGACACTGTATACTCAAGAACGTACAGCGATTGCGGATTATTATTTGCATATTTCGCTTTATGGAGAAAAACACGTTTCAATAAACAGATCGTACCGGTGAAAATTGTTTTTGGTGAAACACTGTCCATGAAAACTGTTTCAATGATTCTAAACCCCCATTGTCTTCTCTAATCCCATCTTGTATTCTGATGGAATACGAATCGAAATCAATCGGATCAAGTGTAACGTACAAATAATTCAAACTAAGTTTCAGTTTCCCTCTCGAAAATATTTGTATTCTGTAAAATGTGTAATGAGCAAGACTCGTAGTTTTAATTTCCTGGCATACACGTGTACATATTATCATATTTTCATCTCTACCACACGATACGCTGGATTCGTAATTAAAAATTGAACCAACATTTTCTACAACAATGTATCAATTCCGCACCAGTTTGTTTCGTGCTTGATGAACTTTCAGTTACACGCGATCCCTTAATTCTCCAATTAAAATTGCACGCGCTATTTACGCGGGCGCTGTTCGCTTCGAACCAAATACAGTCAAGGGGCGGAATAATTAAAACAAACCGCTGTACGTTAACGGTGGAATTTTGCACGAATCGTTACAAGCCATCGCGTACGTCCGTGTAATTAGAATCGAAGCTCTTGCCCGCTCGCACGAAATGGACGAGATTCCATGCTCGGGGGCCAGTGACGGATTTAATCTTATCGGGGCCTCAAGTTAATTATTATACTATAACGCCCTCCTTCCTTTCCTGAAATGTTTTATGCAAGCTGTGTTATTATCTGACTGCGAATTTGATGAATTTATAACACGTGCGAACGTGAAAAGCATATGCTAAACGTATTCAAAACATTTACACTTATCCAATACGAAATATTAAATTTTAAAATGTATTTCACATACCCAGGCGTTTGCCAGGCGATCTCCCTCGCATATAGCTTGTGCACCATGCGACGCTTATTTGTCAACTGACGGACACAGGTCCCATCAAGGGACAAAGGTTAGTAATAGATACAATGTTAACAAATTTACAAACTTAAAAATATAAAAAGGTAGTTGGATTTGCATTGCTTTACGTAGGCAGAAGTTTTCAATTGAAATGTTTGGAACTGTCAAACTATATACTTAAATATACCTACATTAGCTTGCAAACATTAGAAATAAAGGACGTAGAAATCACGAAGATGCCCGTTTCATTTATCAAACATTAAAACTAGTCCTAAGTTTAGTCTCAAATTAAAATAAAATTTTGAAACATTTACTACCACGCCATTTATCGGAAGATATATATCTTCTGCGTTTCCGAATAGTTGTAAAATAAAATCTGAAGAAATGAGGAGCTACTAAGGGCCTGTTCTACACGGTGGGCCGGAGCTTAAACTTCGTTGATCACATGGTAGAGCCGCCCCTGTTTGGGGGCCGCGAGATAAATCATCGGCTTCTTCGAAGTGTCTCCTTTTCCCGATGCCCGTTGCCGGAGTCGCTAATTAAGTTTGCACAACGCTGCTGGTGCCGCTTCTGGCCGCATAACGAGGCGTGTGTAACTTTCTGTTCAGCGGGAGGGTAATGCGAGCGGAATACTTAATATCCCGGGCAGCTTTGGGTCTCTTTCTGGGCACGTGCTGCTCGCCTCCGTGGCGGAAAG